ATCAACAAGGCTCCATCTGTTAGGTGACGTTAGAGTAACAGTAACACCGCAGGGACTGAAAACACCAAATGGCAACGACTCGCATCCTAACGACACCGGAGTCCTCAAAAGGTCGGCACTTCCTCTCCACGGCCGCGCACACTGAGCCGATCGTCAAACGGCGCCACAGCACCGAGATCCCGCTGGTGACGAGGGCTGCGATTGAAAATACAAGCCAGCGCGTGGCACAGAGCGGCGGGGCTTACTTCGCCTCAACAGGAGCCGCAAGACAGACACATAGATCACAGAGCAGATCACAGAGCAGATATGAGCGGTAATGCAGAGCTGAAGGGGAGATGCAGGCGGCAGACAACACAACGCCAGAAGGGCCAAAAGTCAACGCCCGGAGCGAAGCCGACTGCTGGGTCACGCGAGAGGCGTCTAGTGTCATCACGTCTGATGAGGCTCTTCTCGGTCTCAGCCGTGTGTGCGCACGCGGGTTGTCGCGCTCCTGCAGGCATTTCATCACAGTTGACAACTGATAACGTTTCAATCTTTTTTGCCAGACCAAACCAGCGTGTCCGAGGAGGCCGGATCTACGAAGAACCGCTGTGTTCTTGTACCCGATTGTGTGTTTTAGCAGTTGTGGAAGGTAACAAAGTACATTTAGTTTAGTCCAATACCAAACTGAGGGCTCAGGTAGTATTTCATGTAACTTTGTACTTCTACTCTACGCGGAGCTGTCACGGACCGAGCCGCAGGCCTCCTTCACCCCGGGCACCTCTCCAAAAACGTACATGACGCAGTCCATGTCCTGCTGCGAGGGTCAGCCAGCTTCACCGGCTAAAAAGTGCAAAAAACATTCCGGGGTTCATTATGGAACTGTGGTGGGACAAAATAAGACTATGGCGGGCTGCCAGTTTAGGTAATTAATGAGAAACACAGAGTGACCTCAAGCTCTTACTTCCTAAAAGCTGCATGTATAATTTACAAATGTGCCCTAAGGAGGCCGAAGTTGCCACGCATAAGCAAGTCATGGAGAGCATAAAAGGAACTAGACTTTTGGCAGGGGAAGGCTTAAGAGTAGCCTGTGGAGAAAACAAAAAGCATGTGTCCAGGGATCTGACGAGCCTCTATGTTTTAAAACACACACACACACACACACACACACACACACACACACACACACACACAATCACAACCTGCATCACGCAGACACATTGCTCTGCTGGCTCCCTCTATCTTCCCTAATAACCCAGAGGACAGATTCCCAAATCCTTTCCGATGTACTCGGGACTCTGGTTGGTTGGTCACACACTGTGTGTGTTGTGTAAATGATTCAGACTTCCCTTCTAAAAAGGAAAAAAATAAATAAACGTCTTCAGCTCTTCCCATTGCAATTAGGAGATGAGCCTCTGCTTCTGCATTTACATTTTAAAACATATTCAACCACATTTAACATTTTATATTCGTCCTCGAGCTTCACTCCTCAGGACTTCCTGCTTCCTAAGCAGATTATTCCACTTCTACAGGGACGACAATATATGGCAGGAGGACATTCAAGAACTTTTCTCTAGGAAACTGCGGATAGGATGAACATCAAGATCCTCTTGTAGCGTTTCTGCACAAATATTCAATGTTATGGAATATCAATGAGATATTACACAAAGCTACAGCAGTTCTAACCGTCAATATTGGACCTTATATTATAGTAGATTTGTATCCATCCACTTTCTGCTTGCTACGAGCAAGTGCCGGCACTTGGGGCGGGCACTTTCTTAGCCGGTCGTTTCTCCCGCCTCCTTTTTGGAATAAGGGGGGGGGTTACGGGCTGCCGTTGTAATCCACCACTTTATCTTCATTCTAGCAGCACGTCTCCGCCGTCCCTTCGCCTCTCTGAATTCAGTTTGAAAAAAAAGGCACTACCTCATCTCTTCCCCCCTGTCTTTCTAACCTGTCACCCCCCCTTCCGTCCTCATCTTTCTCTCCCGCTGTGGATCCATACTTAGACACTGGCATGCAGATTGCTTTATGGATCTGCTGGCCGATCAATGGCCGCTCCACATTTAGAGAGGACCGGCCCTGCTCCTTGGCCCGTCACGGCCCGTCCCAGCCTTAATTAGATGACTTTTATTGTCGGCTAATGGGAGGGACGCTACGCTGTGGGAGACCGGGGGGGGGGGGGGGGCGGGGAAGACAAAAGAGAAAGGGGGCGTCCCAGGCAGAGAGCAAGAAAGAAAAACTCTCGGAAAAAATTTCTCCTTGTGCCCCAAAGGAGGGCCCCTAGAATGGCTAACAGGCCTCGGAGAAACCAACAACTGTAGGGACATTTTTCTTTGGCTCCGGGGAGCTTATTAAGAATCCACCAATTGGAACTGTTCCATGGGGATTAACAGGCAGGAATTAATCGAAATTTGTGACCGGGAGGGGGCTAAAAATGTTCGGCAAACACTCCGTGTTGCATCATCAAAAAGGTAAATGGAGTGTGAGGCAGTCGAACAAGGAGCGCACTGCCTGACCGGGACTGTTTTCTGATTCTGAAACAAACACTTTGGCTGCTTTGCAGCTTGCTTTAGCTCGTCAGCCTGTGCGGTCCTGTACTTGCTGATCGGAGCCCCGCTCTCGGTAAAGGCGCTCCTCATTTAGCTTTACAGCTTTAATGGGTACTGATCGGGTCAACGTACCATAATATAACCCCCCCCCCCCCTTCTCACAACAGCCCATGCTGAGTCCATTAACCAGGCTTCTGCGGAGTCGACTGTGCAGGACATAAAAGCAGATGCCCCTGCAGACCCGAATACACGCAGGATAATGTTGTTACTGTGGCGTCTACCGGTCTCATCAGCCTTCTTGCAGCAGATGCAGCAGGCAGTGAAGTAAGTCAAGGAGTGGAAGCAAACTGCTCGGGAACCAGCGGCAGGCGGACTGAGTGAGCAACGTGGTGGAACATTTAACAGTTGGCTGAGACCAAAGCGGAGCCCAACAGTCAGTGTTGCCGTGGGATTCAAAAGGAGTGCGGATGTTGCTTCCTGTCTGCTCCTGCGCGCCTGGAAACGCTCAAGCTCATATGTCATTACTGATCACTTGCTGGTGTTGTTGTTTAATCAACTGCGGGTTTATGGCATTAGGGTAAAATTGAGTATTCTTCATTACGAATATGAAAAAAAAAAAAGAATAGAATAAAACGACTCAACTCACAATATGATATTATTATTATTATTCTCTATGTCTAGGGCCTGTGGCGATGTGAGGGCAGTGAGAAAATTGATACCTTTCGAGCGCTCCTATTTGCGTACTTGTTTGTGCGAGCGGTGTTCAGGGGGCGGCATCGCCCGCTGGGTGCGCGGGAGTCTAATAGTACACATTTGTAATCATTCTTAGAGGTCTAGAGGACCCAAAATGAAGGGATGCAGCAGAAAAAAAGAGACGGAGAGCAAGCAAGCACAACAGCACTGGAAAAGTGAGTCTCACGCCTCTTCCCCCCCTTTCCTCCTGTGCTCTCTGTGTCAGGAATAAAATAAAAAAAAAACACAAGACGTATCAGCAACAACCCAGCGTGTGAGATGCCAGCCAGCCACGTTTGAAGGTTGGCTGGCTGTGCGCGTTATCCGCGGCTCATCGGCGCGTAGAGACGCTGGGGGAACAAAGAGCCGCGGTGATTGCCTTGAAGATCAGACGAGAGAGCGCAGGCATAAAGCACGTGGAAAAATGACGCCTATAGATGAGACAAAGGAAGCAGACACAGGCGAGCCAAGCGCCGTGATGAAATAGGAAAGGAAGGGAGGAAAAGGCAAAGGAAAAGTGAAGGCCGAGAGGAGCAAAACAAAGACAGGAAGGCCTCGTCACAGGCGCCGTTTGTTGGGTTCGCAGCCCTTGTTAGAAGTGCTACCTCGAAACGAGCTCGCTCGTGCTGCAGTTTGTGGTATTGCTGCATTGGATTGCCTTGCCCTAAAGGAGAAAAACCTTTTAGAGGGGGCACTCAAAGCAGAGGGCCCGGGGGGCGTCCGTGTCACCACTTAACTTGTCTAATTGTCTCTCGGGTGACACTACGGGCGGAGTGGGCGAGCCGGTTCCCTGGAGCGTTGGCGGTTTCCTGCGGAGTGCTCAACGGCCCAAATCATTGCGGCGAGGGGACGCAGTGTTTACGCGGAGCGCGTGGAGGAGCTCGCGGCACGAGGGGAAGCGCGCACCAACGCATGTAGCCACTTTAAAACATTTGGAAAGCCTGCGGGGGCGCGTCCCAAGCGCTAAACGCTCGGACGCTTTTCCCAGCGACAAGCACAGAAAGGCGAGGACGGAGCTGCAGAGTTGCTTCTTAAAATAAACTGCTGATGGCTTTCTACGGGCTGTAAAAACCCCGTAGAAAGAACTATTCCCAGAATGTGATTGCGATCGCTATCAGGACCGTATTCAAAAATAAAATCTGCGATGGGAAATAGCGGTGACTTGAAAATGAGTGGAGTTCATCCTGAAAATACCCCATTGGATGATTAGCTGACTCAAAAATAAAAAAAGCACTCGATAAGTTAATTGTTGACGCTTCTGACAAGAAAAAATGCCTCTTAAGAGTTAAAGTTGGAGCACCGTTAGAATCCAGCAGGGCCCTTTGGTGTCTATTTAATAAAGACTACTAATTTCAAAAGAGTTTCACTGGCGGTGCGCTTTCAGCTGCTCATGATACTAATACCGGTTGTATTAAAATAAAGTGAAAAATTACTTTCCGTGAGTGCCTGTGTGTTTTGTTTCCGACACAGTACCTTTATGCTGGGGAAGAGATTAAGAGTGGGATCATAATAAACGCGGCAAACATAAATGCGCTCAGCGGGAGGGAGACGAGTTCACCCGCGACCACAGATTGTCCTGCGGAGCTCACGTGCACACTGGGACACAGACTGAGGCTCAAAGAGTCTGGTACAACAAAAGGAGACAAGGTAGATGCTGATGGCAGCTATCAATAGCATATTGCACTAAAGGGAGTTTTTGTGTGAGTTAGGGGGGGAGGGAGGGGGGGCGTCACTTACCGATGTACTCAAAGACGTAGACGACGAAGAAGGGCGTGACCAGGTCGTTGATGCCCTGCACGTAGCCGCTGGCCGGGTGGCGGATGGCCCAGATGAAAAGGATCCGCTCAAAGATCTTTACACACACACACACACACACAAAACGCACACAAAAGACAAAGAGTCAAGAGGGGCGGCTCGGAGACACATCTCCACTACAGACACTCATGCACAAAGGGAGTTCATTAGTGTGGGATTGTGTTCAAACACAATAGCGGCGGAGAAGCTAAGAGTCAGGAAATGCTTGGCACAGATCCCCGTGCGTGGATTAGCTAATTCATGGACCTTGGGTGTTAATAGTGAAACATGTTCGGTGGCGCCACCGAACATGTTTCACTTCAATGGCTATTCTCTGACGGACAAACACTCGGCCGTTTGACTGACAGGTTCCAATCAGAGAAGAGTACACACTGTCGGGAGTGAGTGAGGTGCGTTTAAAGGCAGCAGTAGAAATCACAGCAGTGCCAAGCTGGTGAGGAGGACAATTCTGACGGGAACACTGCAGATTTGGATATTGATTTTAGAGCAGATATTGACACGGCTTGAACTGGAGAGCAATCGCCTTTTAGTATCCGACCGCAGAATTAAAATATAATATACTATAATCACCCTTTTGTGTTGAAAAAAAAACACCTCAGAAGGAACATGGATTAAAAAGCTTTAGGATTTAAATAGTTGCTTTGCAAATGTTAATTGATCCCAGTCCAAACCTTTGTGTTGGTCCACCTCTACACTTCCTGCCACATGGACCTCCTGTGGATATCTATATCTATCCTCTAACAGTATCTATCCTTTTATTTATTGTCTTCATGTCGGTCGTGAAAAGAGACGAGAGGAATGCTGGCCTTTTTTTTTGTGTGTGTGTCCACATATAAAGCTCGATTTGAACATCATCCTCTGCTTTGGTGTCAGGTCTTCTCCCTCTCATATATATATATATATATATATTTGCGTGCGCGGAAAACACTTCCATCTTCGTTACGGGTTCGCTGTTTAACGCCGTCGCACCTGAATTTGAATTAGACGAGCCTTGATGTGGGGCTTTTTTTTTCTCTCAAATGGATTACACCCCCCCACCCATCAATGTGTCCCTGTCACTTTCTAAATAGCCTCATAGCTCATTGTTTAAAAAATAAAATAAAAAAAACATGGCAACGTGTTTGTGGGGGGGCGGGGGTGGGAGGTGGAAAACTTCTCATATTCTTTTTTAAGCAAATCCAATCAATGTCGAGATGGCCGCAGAGATCGGCGAGACGCAAGTCTCTCCGGCTTCCCCCTGCCCCCCCCCCACACTTTTCTCCTCAGACCCCCAGGCAGGCCCCACACACCCCCCCCACCCCCTCCCCGCGTAAAGCCCCATCTATCAAACGCGGAGAGGTGCGGCTGCTTTCATGGCCAACGGGTAATGGGATCCTCTCCTCCGTGCAGCCTCAAAAAGTCGGCGTGCGCACGCAGAAGCGGCGCACCGGGGGGGTTCGGCAGCCGGGGCAGAGGAGCGAAGCGCTTCAAACACCGACAGCCCCGCCGCTCCAGTCCTCGGCGGGGGGGCTTTTTACGGGAACTGATGTGAATCTGGTGACGCGGTGTCTCCTGCTCCGACAAATCGGTTACAAATTATTCTTCACTGACGTTTGACATATAAGAGTGTAGGGAATGAGGTTTATCTCTTAAGTACAGGACGTGTTCAACAACCACTGCAGTGCGGCGGTGTTCGCTGAAAAAAAAAAAAAAAATTCAAGTTACCTTCGATGACATAATGTCTTCTTTTCACGTCGAGAACTCGCAATTGCTGATCATCAACTTGTTGTGGAGTTTGCATTGTTCTCCGGAACGAGAGAAAATCAAACACTGAAGCACTGAAGAAATCAACGCAGAACTCCTTCAGCATCCCTCTCTTTCTCCCCCAAAATGGAAAACACGCTTGTCTGACTTCCATCTCCACGAAATTCTCCAGGCCCCACAAACAAGTGAATAAAATGAAGCCGGGGTGACTTTCTGTATTATCTTTTTTATTTTTTTTTATTTTTTTTCCAAAGGTCTCTTTGGGGTCTGCTGCATACCGAACTATATGAGGTGCACACGGCGCTTGAATATAATGACGGCCTCTCTCTTTGCCTTGGAAGATGGGAGCGGTGGTGCGAGGGGCCGAGAGGCAGAATGTCTCATCTTCTTTCGCTCTCCGCCTGTGTGGGGCGTTGTGTGTTTGTGTGAATGCTTTGCGTGTCTCCTCGTTGTCTCTGTTTCTTCTGTCTACCTGTGTGCACATGCATGCGTGACCTTTGTGTGTGCGCGTGTGTGTGTGTTTTCGCTCACACCTCCGTGTAGGTGTCCACGCAGAGGCGGTCCAGAGCGCTGTCCACATTGATATCGTGCACCTCATCGTGGGATTTTTCTATTTTTCTTTCTACGCCCCCCCCCCCCCTCCAGGCCGGCCCCCACGGTTTACAGTTGAAGTATTTAGGTAAATGTTGTTCAAAGCAGCTTACAGCCATTTAGTGACTGCAGCAATGTATGCATTGCTGTAGGTTTCCCTAATGTGCCCTAAGTACCCGAGATTGCTATTGTTTTATCAAACACGCTGCTTAACAGGGTTTTAGGATAATGAGTTCTCGTATCCCCTAAAACGCCCCGGATGCTTTAGGAAATGCTTTGCTCAGCAGCACTAAGAGAGCGGAGCGAAGAACGCTGACCGTGCAGGCAGAGCGTTTGTGCGTATCTGATCTCATGCGTGATTGAAGGCGGTTTATAATTCCATTTCTGTGCGTGTGCGTTTGTGTGAAGCCGCACCGGACCGTGCTGTGTGCCAGACTGAGAATTTTGTTAGTCTCTACTGTCCCTACTACCCGTATCTACCCAAAACCAGGGGGAACCCTGCTAGGTGAAGTGGTGTGTGGTGCAGCCGGTCTCACCTCTTGGACAGAAGCTTGTTGAAAGAGAGGAATAAGAGGATTAGTTCTCGGTATGTCAATGTGAATCTGCAGAGAGAGGAAGAGAGAGAGAAAAAAAAAAAACATTGAAGCAACGGGCAGGTTAGCACAGACATCACAGGCAGAGACGGGGAGAGAGAGAGAGAGAGACGGGGAGAGAGAGAGCGAGCATCATTTAGTGGATTGGTGTCCTTGATTGAATGCAGGAGGGCGGTTCCTGCGATCTGAAACGGATAGCAGTTGTTGTCTGGAATGCTGGAGTGCAGATTGGGAGATGCCTCTATGATATTCTGTGCACCAGACCGCGTTCACACCATTTCAGAGCCCTGCAGATGGACGATGCGACAGGCGGACAGATTCATCAGAAGGGAGCCAGGCGGATGCACGACAAAAAAGGTCTGGGTCGGAGCGGCGGCGGTGAGGGATGGGGGAGTGGTGGTGGGAGGGGGGGACCACCTGACCACCTTACCTCAGTCACCTTTGGCTGCAGCACCAAAGAATCAGGACTCATTCTGGGAATGTCTATGTGGATCTGACATCAGAGAGAAGGGTGTCAGAGAGAGAAACAGGCACACCCGCAAACGCAAACGCAAACACACACACACACACACACGTAGCAACATAAAGGTCCCCTTTCATTTACGTCATTATTGGGTATTCAAACCTGGTTTGGGACAGCTTTAAGTTGTCGAGAAGGAGTGAACGCAGGAGATGAGTTTAGAGCCACATGCCTAGCAACAATTGGTCTAGAGTGATCAAATCTGAGTTTATTGGTGCTCGGACTTCCACCGGCATTATGCGTCTGTTGGCTGCGCGTAGCTGAACGCGTAACTGTATCGACTTCTCCGTGCTCATTGGAACGGCTGTAACGCCTGTGCCGCTCAGCCTGCGGCCCGTCATGCTTCCAGCGATCTTGGCTGCAGGGAAAATCCACACGCAAGTACAAACAAAGTAAGAGTGTCACCAGAGCTTTAACAAGGCTCTTTTGTGGTGTGTTTTAGGGTCATTTCTGACGCCCTTTTTCCCTTTAGTGGGAACAAAAAGTGTGTTTGTTGCGATGTTAGCGGCACCGTCGGTTGTTTCAAAACTTCGGCATACATTCTCTGGTGGAGTAACAGATTTTTATATACTTTCTCCCGGGATGGAACTAGTCCGCAGCCGTACTTCAGAAGAATCATGCTGGGACTTCAACAATGGCTACATCCATATGCAAAATGACTTGAATACACACACAAGCTGTTTGGGCAGGTTACCAATAACATAAACAGATATATAAAAGCGGCAGATGGAAAGACACAAGAAGAGATACTAACTATGCAGACAGATGGGGAGGTTTGCACGAGCTGACAGACAGTCTAATATGAGCACAGACAAACACAAGACATAAAAAGGTACATGCAACGTGTGCAAATACGTCTACAGCCACTTAGACATCACGTCTACATGACACAAAACACATACACACACCGTCACGTGCCATTCGAATGGCAGACCGACATATGTGCAAACAAGCGTAAACACACAAACACACACCGGAAAGGAAAAAACAACAACATTTAAAATCACTGCTCGGTCTGTGAACACAAACAAGTGTTGCAACAGGCGGAATTTGGCAGAAAAAGAATCCTCGAGACGCGATCCAAACAGCCATCAAAACAAAGTAGGGCAGCTTCCTGGGGCAGGGCGGAGCAGATCAATGGGGAATTGGATGGAACATGAGAAATGTGTGGTTTCTTTGCGCTGCCGACAGCCCACTTTGGTGTTTGTTATGGGCCTGAAGTGAACGGGAAGTAGTCAAGTGCTAAAATGATAGAGTGTGAGGGGTGGTGTGTGTGTGAGTGTGTGTGTGAGAGAGAGAGGGACGGACAGACGGACAGATGGGGGGAGAGAGAGAGAGAGAGAGAGAGGGAGGAACAGAGTATGTGGAGATATTGTTTTCAGAGCCAGAGAAAAGTGATCATTTAAAGCAGCTCTCTGACGCTCGGGGGAGGCCGCCCGCGCTCTGTGGACACACACACACTTCCGCCGTGTCAACGAACACACACACACACAGGCAGACAAACAGACAGCGACAGCACAGGGGAACAGCACGGGACCGGCTCCAGTAATCCTGTCTGCAGGGCCGAATCCTGTCACACACACACACACACACACAGAGACACAGGAGCGGCTACGGGGTCCCGTCCGTGCTGAGGGAATACATTAGTAAAGAGAAGCTGTTCATGTAATTGGAAATTCAGACAAGTATGAACGTAAAAATAAGTGATTAAGCGCGCAATGAGTCAACGGGAGCCGCGTGTGTGCATTCATACGTCTACGCATCTGCGTACCTGTCTGTACGTGTCCTGATGGTTCTCGTCGTTGCGGGAGTCGTAGTACTGCTGGATGAAGCCAAAGTACTCCTGCCTCTTCCTCTGCAGGACGCTCTCTCTCCTCTCGGCGTTGGCTGGCAGGTAACCCTGGAGGATGGGAGAGACACGCAGGGAGCAAAGGGGGAGTGAATGGAGAATAAAGGGACTGTTTCTCAATTAGAACCCCCCCCCCCCCCCCCACACACACACACACACACACAGGTCATTCTATGTGTCCTCACGCTTTTGAAAGGATCGAAGGAAAAAGGAGAGGAGATGAGCTCTGCAGGTGGGACTGTGTTTCCTTTGCTGGGTGTCTCCTTGTATCCTGTCCTTACGCCAAGCACGACATCTCCTGCTAGCGATTCATGCTAGCAGCATTAGCGAGAGCGGTGTCTCTTGGGAGTTTCTCGTGTAACTCTAAGTACCAAAGTAAGCAAGCAAAGTAAGCACATTTCTCAAAATAGCTAAGTGTTCCTTTTGTCAAATGTCTGATTCATATGGCACTGCGGGAAAGAAAGCAAAAACATCACTCGAGTGAATTTAATTAAATTGTCTACAAGAAACCGATTTGAGCTTTTATTGCTTTTTCGTTAAATTTATTGCTTGTTTTTAATCTTGTTCACTGCTCCATCCATGTTTAGATTTCATATTTATTTTCACTGTTTGACTATCTGCTCTTATATTACCTCGCATCGGATCTTAAATGTACACTTAACTGAATGCATCATTCATCGGGTTCTCTAAAAATGCTTGAGATTTACAATCAGCACTTCGGAACCCTTAAAACGTAGCACACGTCCAGCCCCAAACTGTTTCCGAGCTGACGTACCTGTCGTTCTGAGGCCCGTTCCACGTGGGACTCGTTAATGCAGCCCCGCCGACTCTCAGCAAAACCGTCTGAAGCCGAATGTCCGTTAGATCTCGCGTCTCCGCCAGTAAAAAACATTTAATGAGCTACTCTGTCGCGGCGGCCAAGTTCACAATCACACACAAACTCCTCTAAATGAAACACTTCACTCTGCACGGGAAACTCTGTCTTGACCAGCAGCTTGGGGGAGTTACATTTGTCTGTGTGAGTCTGTGTGTGTGTTTCAGGGAATGCGTTTGTCAGACAGTGGATTTGGGAATGTGTTTGTCCTTCTGTCCTCCTTCGTACAGTCAGGCTTATGCAACGAGGAGAAAGTCAACTCCAAACTGAGCAACAAATCTACAGTCTATTTTCGGCGAGAGATGGGACCGGGTTTGGGATGGTAGCTCTAAAATATTCACACGGTTCGAGTCTCAAACATGACGGGTGGCTCTGAAAACTTGTCCCCGGGACAAGGAGCTGGATTGTGTAGCTGTTAAACTAACAAAAGGCCCCTTTTTTTCGCTCATGTTTTTTGCTGACCGAGTTGTCAAGACACAAGGAAACAGTTTTTGATATAAGGCTGATATATAATGGCTGACTAAGCAAACCAAAGATATGAACCACCAGGTAACACAAACCCACCCGAATCCCCCCCATGCTGGACGAGCTCTTGGTATGGTCCTAGGTAGACCTCGAGGCGGAAGGAATGCAGAGGACCGCAGCTCGAAGTGACTTTGGCTGCTCTTCAGTCACAACAGAGAGCAACTCGCCATCAAACTCGACTCCTCGCCTGGACCACCCAAAGGCCGATATTGGCTGTGTGTGTGCACGCTATACGGGTGTATGTGTGGGTTAGTTTCTTATCTATGTGCGTTTTTGTCTTTGTTGGGGCTGTTTGTTGTTTTTGGAAGCCGGTCTCAGCTTTTCGGTACCACACGCATAAAAGCATAGCTGAAGAAAAGGAAAATAACTTTCTTTCTTTTAAGGAAGGAGGACACAAGCTGTGTCGCACACACCCGCTGTGATTATAGCTTTTGTGTTACTGCAGTTTATCGCAAAAGACTGGGTATCGGAATACTGACATAATTGAATGTGCTAACGTATCGACGCCGGCCTGCGTATCCGGGCTCTAAACTGTGTGAGGTCATTGCAATTCTTTTGAACATAATTGTATGTGTTGAATGAATAACTGGTTGGAGGGAGAGGGATGGAGTCAGAGCGAGCAACGAGACGCTCTTTAAGGACGAGTGTGTCTCACAGTGAAGTACGTTAAGTGCTGAAGATCCGAGTGTAATTACGGTTGAACCCAAGTGACTCAAATCCATTTCATTTGTGGTCCACCGGTTAAAAAAAAGGCAAGCGGAAAGAGATGGAGGGCAGAAAGTGAAGCATAAATGCGAGACGTCTCCGCATGACCTGTCAGTGGTGTAAGATGTGGCTGCACAAGTACTCCTGCCTCTGTGAATCAGTCTACAAAAACCTCATCCTCTTTATTCTTCCTTTGCTTCAATCTACCTCCATCTTTCCATCCTTGCATCACTCTAATGGCTCCTCCACTTCAGTAAAAACACATGCTTGAGGAAATTAGATTAAATCCTTTGCTCCTACGCTCAATATAAAGAGATTTCTACTTAGCGGACGCACATCATTCTGGACGCAGACCGGGAAGAAACTATCCCACTAAGTTGGACAGATAAAACTACTCTCTAAAATGCTCTTATCGCTTGTGCCACAGAAGCGTTTGCTTCTAAAAGAAAGGTCTGCCGAAGAGTGCGCTCCATTTTTAAATTTGCGCATCTCCAAAACAAAACTAAATGGAAAATAACAAGACTTCAGAAATGACGCCGCGTGGCTTACAGATTCACTTGGTGCAAATAAACAGCTTTCTCCTTAATAAGGCGGGAGAGGAAGTGAGCGGTGCCGCTTGTCCCTCGTGTTCCATCCATGGAGGTCCTCCGTCAGAGCATATCTAAAGCCTCCACTGAATCTTTGCAGAGCGAATAGCATTAATAATCTGAACACCACATATAGAACCCTTAATAGGTACAGCGGGTCGGATGCAGGGGGTGTGCATACACAAACTATGGTATTCAAACACAAACGCAATATACTGAAATACCCCTGGTTCCTTTTCACGGAAGGTGAAGTTGAAGCTCTAATGAAATACAAGTGTACGGGAGCAAAGAGGAACAAAATGTTCTATTCAAGGGCCGACGTGCATCACTGTGCATACGTTCCAGGGGAGTGAGCCTCTCGTGACAACTAAATAAATGAAAGAAATGATTCTCTCAGCCGAGGTAGTCACAAGTGACGCTGTGAGGTTACACTTAAGCAAAAACACTATCTAAATCTGCTGCCCGCTGCATCTCGAATAAGCCTTTAGCTTTGTCAATAATTCCACAGCCGGTTGGTTTTTTGCTCTCGCCCACTTCACATTTAACAGCCACACTCCATTAACAAATGTACATATAGCCACAGGCTGACATTCTTTCATAAAGCAGAGAAGAAAAAAAAAAAAAAAAAAAGTCATTTCGTTTCTTCATTCTCCTCCGGGCTCGGACACAAAAGGCTCTTAAAAAATAAAGATATCAGCGGCGTCATTTCTGAAATAATAGCGAGTTCAACCGGCGGTTTTTAAAGCTGGGGGGCAACCTGTGGAGCCTCCTGAAAACGCTGGATGGATCATCGCTCCAGTTGAAGGACTTGCAACTTTTTAATTTTCTCACAAGCCAAAGCCAACAGTTTTACGGCGGTCATGTACGTCTTGGGGGGTGGGGGGGGCATCGGCGAGCTCTCACGGAGAAGCCGGGAAGCCGATTTTCTCGCCTGTCGGAGAAAAAAAGACGAATGCGGCGGCGGCGGCTCTGGCACGCATGCCGGAGGAGAGCGGGAAAAAGAGAAAGTTGGTGCGCGCTGGTGAGCAGCAGAAGGGCGCAGAGGGACACCGCTGGAGTGAAGTATTGTTAGGTGCCTGTGCCAAATTTATGGAAGACAAGCGTGGGCTGAGAGTCTGTGTGTGTGTGTGTGTGTGTGTGTGTGTGTGTGCGGGCAGAGAATATATTCTTTGAGCCTGATCCCTCCTATCTATTTCTCCACTGGATCCCACCGCAGACAGGACAGAGAAGGCAGTCGAGTGTTATGACACTTCAGAAGATATGATTGCTTTTGACACCGTGCCCACTTTTCGCTTTAATCCAAACCTGGGATTCAATCCGGGGACGATCCTCGCCCCTGGAGGCAGTAGAAATGTATCGAAGGGCTTGCAAGCCAGAGAGAACCTCAGATATCGATCTGGAGTTTGCGGGGTCAAAGCGCCCTGTATATAACTAGATCATAATCAAATTAATTGCATTCCAGACGACACACAACGGATGAGTGGAATACAGCAGCAGCCTTTAACCAGCACGTGTTGTTGGCTGGATCTCAGAGTTCCTCAGAGAGACACAATCCACTTTCTCCACGAGCCTTCCTTCAAATATGGCCTGGCTGTGTCCTCTCTCCACTCCTGTCCTCTCCTGTCCTCTCCTGTCCACAGCCTACACTAAATTGAAGTGATTGAAAAGCTGCATGTTGTTCGGTCTGCAGATGATAAGGCAACAGTGAGCCTGCTGAAGGAGGAGGAAACGTCCCGTGCTCCTGTCACAGATTACGTTTAATTGAATGTGACAGAGACCAACGGTATGCGCATTGATTTGAGGCGTCGTCACGCCGACCCCGTCAACACTGCAATTAATGGTCAGGATGGAGAAATCGTTGAGATTTGCTTGGGGTATATAATCAATAATGAGCAGAGCTCTGATCGCAACACCAACAATTTGTGTAGGAAAGCCAGCGGCGCCTTATTTGTTTCAGGAAGTAGGCTTGGCTCATAGTTAATGGGTCATCTTTGTTTTATGGATCTCTTATTGAGTCTTTGAGTTTTTGCTATTTGCTTCATCTGTTAGTTTGCTTCTCTCAATCTAAAGCAGGAAAGTGAAACAACCAATGTTGTTGCACTTCAATTTGCTCTCTTGCCGGGGACGGATGCCACTCTGGTGTTTGCGGAATGAGCATGGAGCTCGAGCATCGTATGATCAAATCCCACCCTGAAGCTCTACAGCTGTACCCCCGTCCCTGCATTTTCTCAGTGGCCATTTCAGAATCATATTAATGGCACGATTGAATTTGAATTGTTTATGCACTAATGTGTGGATCGTTTCAATGTTGCAGCTGGTAAAAGTTGGAGGGACTAAATATACTTGATAATTAGGCTATGTACTCAATAATAAATCATATTTTTTAAGTTGCTTTATATTTTCTATGAAGAATTCAAATCTGCAAAGATCCCCCTACTAGAGAAGACTCAAATGATCCTAGCCAATAATTGAGTAGCCAAGATGTACTTTGTTATATTCCAAAACAAAATATTGTTTCCTAAAGATTCACCGTGTGATTTTACATCTAAAGTACATCAGACAGATGCATCTAACTTTAGAAAATATGAGGGTCCGACTTCAACCAGCCAGTCTCTCAAAACACCGGACACACACACAAACTAGAACATGGACGGGATGTGCATTTGTTAACCACCCAGAGACAGAGACAAACACACACACACACACACACACACACACACACACAGTGGGATGAAGTGCCGAGGTGCCCCTCCCCTCCCTAGATGGCAACGCTGCGTCTCCTCACTTCAGTAGAGTCACAAAACAAAGCAGTCGTTAATGACTAAACCCTCCCACCACCACACAAACACAAACAGGCGTGCACGCGCACAAACACATCCCTATAATGACATCTTTTCTGCAGCACATTAGCAATTGTGCGGTAATTAATGGGAGAGCCGCTGCGTCGGAGAAGCCGGTCTTCTCTCTGCAGACTAGGAGCTGTACACCACAACAATGCCTTGATGAGTAAACACGCCACGTGCCTCATGAATAAACTATCTGTGCCTCGCAATTCATTTTCCCTATTGAAGAAAAAAAAGAAATGGGGACTGTATTCATCGATCCAAAAAAGAAAAAAGAGAAAAGGATGGAGTCGGGAGAGAGAACATGACGGCCACTTTGTGTGTGTGTGTGTGCGTAAAATCATCTGTAATGCTTAATTTTTCCCCTTCATTTGTTTCGATAATATCTGTGCGTGCGTATGTGCGTCTACATTTGATCAATATGGGTATTTACTAGAAGCTTTATTGGGGGGTTTAGTAAAAGTGAATGTTTTGAAAGTTTTACACAAAGTGGTGTGCGTGGCACACGCAGGGCGGGGTGTGCTGCGAGTAAAACTCACTGAAAGCAGCTTCCACGTTATCGGTCGGACCTGCCGTGGGATTCCAGACCAGCTGAGTTTCCGTAGCTCGTCTGTAGAAAAAGAACAGAAACAGCAGAGGGATTATTATCATTTCAGATTCACCGCTGAAGCTTTGCATGCAAAGACGTTCCCCTCCCTCTGCAGCTCGACCGATAATACACAGCCTCAATGAAGCTATCAGCAATTAGCCATCAATATTAGATTATCAAGAGATGTGTCCGTAAGGGAAGATTGTGATGGAGAATGAGAGATAAGCTGAGATATGCTTGAGTTAATTAAGTCTTTTTGACAAGTCAATCTTTTCGCCACAGTTCAGTGCATCTTGGAACGTAATATTGATCTTGAAGAAGGGGGATTGTTTCAAACTAATTCATCTTTCAGCTGACTGACACTAACTAATAGCTTCCCTTGCATCAAATGCTTATTTTCTTTGTAGATTTTCGATTTCTCTCACATTGACCTGGGCCTGACCCGCACCGGACGGAATCACATAGCTGCTAGAAAATATTAATCCCAAATATCGATATCAGTGTCAGCCTCAAAGATCCACCATCAGTCGAGCTCTATTGCCCTCCCTCGATTAGATTTATTCTAACCGCAGATAAAGAGTGACGCAATAAACAGCCAAAGAGAGATGGAATATTGGGAAAAAAATAACCCGTGTCCGTCTCTCCGTAAAACACACACATGACAGGGGGATTAACAATAATCAGACAGGAGAGGACGCTTTGTCTCGTGGCATTTAATAACCTGTGTCTACTATTTCCAATGAATCAAACACATGAACTAGACGAGAATAAAAAGCGGCGGGATTTCACGAGCAGAACAAAAGCTTTTGTCTAGAGCTTCTGGGACTCTCCCGTCCGTCGTATTCCAATAATACGGATATTTCCCAAACGCCGCTGGCTTCTTTTGGAGCGACACATCTTCTACACAGCGTGCGTTATTCACCCATAGTAACTGTTCCTGGAGGGAATTGAAATTACAGAGTGACCTTGTCCGGACCAAGCTGCTTACAAGCTGCTTTGTTTTGATTATTTAGCCGCTCACGATGCTCTAGATGTCCACTATCTGTTTGCGGTTCATCGGCTGTATTTCTTAGGAAAAAGAAGTTTCCTGGATGAGAACACGACTCATTCATTATTCACAATAGGTCACCCTATTCCTTTCCCTGCAGGTCTGCCCCCCGCCATTAGCATTCAACAAGACGAGTTGCCGGGGCCAAGCTGAGGCAAACATAAAAAACACAACGGAAATCTCTTCACTTGTAATTGCGCTGCAACTGAATGGGGGCGAATTGATTTCCGTGCAAATGAAACGCCGCTGCCTTAATATACTTTTTCTGAGAAGAAAAAAAAGAAAATGAATCAACTGTGGCCCACGAATGAGCCAAATTCTCCCTCGACTCGTATTCAAGCCACAGGCTGGAAATTGATAAGCCCCTCGCACGGAGTGAACAGTATTGATTAGTGCTGCCAAATGACTCCGCCGCGCCGGTTCTTCAAGGCAAATGCAACGGAGAGGAAGAGGCAGATAGCGGAATCGGAAATAACAATCAGCCAAACAGCAATGGGCCAAGTCCATTGGCTAAATTGAGTGAAACGCATTAGAGCTTGTTGGGTTGATGGGAGAACCTATTTATTCACTATAGTTCCTGTGCATCTTCCACTTAAGATTTCTCCCTTACCTTGTCCCCAGTGACTTTAATTATATAGAAATCCAATTCGGTGATGTAGTGCAAAGCACTGCTCTGTTGGTTAAGAGGCAGTTGGGGGGCCCCGCAGTATGGCGAGCTTTTCAAATGCACCAAGCTTACCAGTGGAAGTCGCATTCAAAGGCGTGGATTGAAAAAAACTAAAAACTTTTTAGATAAGACACCGAACATAAAAGTTGCACAAGCTGCTGAGGGTTTTTCTACAGATCATCAATGTGTGTCTTTGCTCCTTCCCTCAGGACGCGAGGAGGAGGCAATGTGTGTATGTGTGTATATTGGTTGCAGGCTATGGTAATTGCAAACATTATTTCGTTCCCAGACATAGCACAGACACAAGAGAAGCCGTCGCCGATTAAAAGCGTTGCCTCTCCCGGAGTCTGTGGTGGCTTTCAGTGCACAGATAGGACTGGGCCTGTAAATTCAATTTGCCCGTTTCCAAAGTATGCTTACAGGCCCCGGGGTGTATCGCTGCATATGCGAAAAGGGTAAAGCCTTTGTGGCTCTAGAGGGAGGGGTGTGAAAGCTAATAAACTGCCTCAAATGATGTCACTTCAGTCGCCGGCTGTCGGGGAGGGATCTTTCAAACCGCCAGCATTTCAAAATAAGCAACATCATCTCGCTCGGGGAATGAACTCCGTCGAGTCCTTCTCTCGGGGAATTTGTCAAAGATGCTTGTGTGTCGCCTCTGCACTCCCAAAAGAGATGCATTGTTGGTATTGTGGGGAACCACTTGTGACAAAGAAGAGCAATGCTTGAAATTAACAAACGGGTCGCGACATTGACGTCGTAACCTCACAGCTCCCCGTTGCTTAAATCCTCCTCGCCACTCCCGATCTCTTCTGCCAGGACGCGCTGCTGTGTGCAGACATCCCAGTGCTTTGCTTTGACTCGAGCCTTGTGGAGCTGGACAGCCGCAGGGAAGTGAGCAGCAAAGTGCGAGGCTTACAGGGTGAAGCGGCTCCCCGCCGCGCAGCACTATATTCATTACTCTCCTCTCGCCTTGCACCGTTTGGACCTTCATTTGCCCTGTCGGACAAAGAAATGAGTCCATGAATCTTCTGGGCTTGGGCTTGGGCTTAATTAAACTATATTATATTTCCCCCGCACAAGTCATCAATCTTCCCATCGGACGGAAAGGGGGGGGGGGAGTTGTCGGCTAATAGTCTTCACATCCTGATGATGCAGGGATCCCCTCCGAAAGGCCCGTCCCCTTTGGGCAAGCGCTTTGTTATTGCAGGAAAAAGCTTGTGCACTGAAGAAAGGCCCGTGTATGTGTCTGTGCGTGCGTGCGTGAGAAAGGTCAGGGGGGCAAATATTTGCTCGGCACCATGTGAGCCGGTGAGAGAAGATCATGTCCCCGTCGAACCTGTACATCATACACAGAAAAGCGCAAACACGGCTGCCGGCTCCTGAAAAATTGCTGGTCTTCCAAACTCTCTCCAGCAGAGACGGAGCGCAGCAGAATCCCAATCGCGGTGAGGCCGGTGCGAGATGCGAGATGGGCAGAACTCCACTGTGCTGGTGGAAAAACTAAAAAAAAAGGGTCAATCCTATCAGCAAAGATGTCTTTCGTGTTCCTCTGCTTCCTCTGAATCCGATGAGTCATTCGAATGCAAATACACCCTCGCAGGAGACACGCCTGTGCCAAATAGTCTCTATTCCACAAAGTGGGCGGGGCTAAATTAACCTCTTTGGCGCATCCACGTGCATTATGAATGAGACGGCCGAGTCCAGGCTCCGCCAAGACACATTAAGGAGGCTTTTTGTGACATTTTGAAAATGAATGTTGTTTTTTGGGCTCGCCAGGAAAAAAGAAAAAAAAGAGTTCTGACAACTGTCCCGCGGGCGCCGAGGGATTAGCCGTCCCCGTCAAGTGTCCACTGAGCCAAGTTAATAATGCAAACAAGCCATTTGTAGCTGACGAGTCACACAATCTGCACAACCTTAAAACGAATTACTAATGGAAACTTTAGAGACATTTCTTTGTCGGTCTGTAAAGGTACGAGGTAGAGGCACCTCATTAAAGCAATCTACCGATTCACCCCCACAGGCTGTCATTTCAAGGTGTACGTGCGAGTGGGGGCCGAATGCCCCTCACGGGACCAATAAAATATCACATTATTACATATTTTGGAATTAGCATGGTGGGTGTTTATCATGCCGGCGGGCACAAACCTTGGGAACGGGGGTAGGGTGGTGTGTGTGGGATGGGGGGGCAAGCCATGCTGCACAGAGGCCCAGAGAACACCTGTAACGTGGGCAGCGTGCGACTCAAGGGTGACCGCCGCCGCTCCTCTGCTCGATGTCGGCTGGGTTCCATTATGCATGAACTTACAGGGGCGCACTTTGTCTTGGCTGGAGTTAAGCTGGGGACCGCGGGGGGGTGATTAGGACACGGCGTACCTTCTGTCGAACACCCCACAACAGCTGCTCCGGTGCGGGACCCTCGGAGGTAATGAACGCTCAATGACTCCTGACACGTGCAGAGGGCGACGTATACCTGCACGCCGCGCCTCGTGTTTTATTTAGGCTCATTTAGTCGACCGAGATAACCACCAGTATTCTGGTGGTTATCAGCGGCTTGGCGAGGGAAGGTCACAGCAGCTCGGGGTACAGCCGGTGGGGTTGGGCAGGGGGGCTCGCTAAAGGAGAATTCAACCAGGAGTTTTGAACCACTTATATGTGGTCCACAGAGCCTTTTTTTTTTACTTTTTACCATTTGGGCGTGCTGAGCAATTTTCAAAAACACAGACATAACTGAAATGAATTTATATCAAATACGGAGGTGAACGATCAACGCCGCTGGGTCAGAAACGTCCTTGATGACAAGGGGACGGAAAGGAGGGAGACACATGCGGTTCAGGACAGCAGAGCCACAGCTGAGAAGCACATTTTAAAAAGCAGCGCTGGTTCGTGATTCAACACATCACAGAGTTTTTCCATAAGCTGATCTCATCAGCGGAAAAAGACAAAAACAATTAACTCTGCACAAGCTTCAAGCCTGATCGACGATGAGCCATCAGCCCACACAACGTTTTCTGTTGACCCAAAATAAATCCGCCATCCGCAAAGCGACGTGATTCACGGACGTGATTAATAGTATCGTTTTAATTTGTTATTGGCAGGTTATTTGCATAAACACATAAGGTTCAAATGACTAATAAAAGATTGCATTATTATTGATAAACTGAACCTACGGAGATTGCTCTTTCTATGAGCAACAGAGCAATATGGAGGCTGTTCCTCCATCCTTTTTTAAATCAAACAGTGTGTGTGTGTGTGTGTGTGCGCGCGCCTCCTCCGTTTCTGTCCGTCTCCTTGCCTGTCAGTCAGTCC